ACTATGTGCTGGGCCCTGTTGCAGATGCTAGTGGATACAGAAATTAATAAGACAATTTGCCTTTAGGTGGCTCTCTCCCCTCGTGAAAGGTTAATGTAATAATAGCACTATGCAAAGTATGCTCTGGAAGCACAATCAAGGTTCAGGAAACATTTCCTATAGAAGATATTGCCCGAGTTAACTTTTAAAGGAAGAACAAAAATTAGCCACATACAATAGGAGGGAAAAGATATTCCAGGTAGAGGCAACAGCATCAACAAACAAATAGATGCAGGAAATCAAATGCTAGGCAGCAATTCAAGAAGAGTGCAGACAAAGATCAGGTACTGATTTCATCCTACGGACAACCAGAAGCCACTAAAAGGTTTTACACACGTCAATGACATGGTCAGAATTGCAACATAGTTAGATTATTCTGGTGGTAGTATGGAAAACAAATCTGAGGGCAAAAGACTATAAATGAGTTAGAAGGAGTTTTAAATAGTCTAGGCAATTTATGAAAACAGCTTGAACTAGGCCAGTGGTAGTGGTGTAGCTAGAAAAGGGGAAAGGAAAAGTTTAAAAGTAAGAGTAGCAAAGAGAATTGAGTCAACATGATATATCTGCTGCAGGAAATTTTCTTTTGCCCAGGGTGATAAGACTAAACCAGTAATTAGCTTCACTGTTTGCTCCAAGAAATTCTTGCAAACTAACTTATCTGGGCAAACAGTGTGTGCATTAGAGCAAACAGGTCTCCTGACAGGATAACAAATTGCTTCAAGACCCTTTTCTTATTATGTCCACTAATTCTAAATATCACGTCAAAACCCCGCCCATCCCAAACAGTTCCCCATCTTGAAGGACGTGCCTTAAAACACATGAGTACAAATCTCAAATCCCTAGAAATACTCTTTCCTGACTTCCCCTAACTACCAAGACTCTGTCAAAGTGGTGCTTGCCCTTGTTGCAGTAAGTTTAATAACCTCAGCTTTGCTGAATCAACAGGATTCTTTTGTTGGGGAAAGTCAATGGCAGGAATTGGTGACAGATTATGGATGTTAAGGAAGAGAAATAAATCCAAATATGACTCCTAAGTTTTAGTTAGGCCTCAGCAAAATGAATTGTTGAATTTGAGGGGGATGCTGATAGGGCTTCCACGTAGGGATGTGTAAAGGCTTCTCTTGGGGGAGAGGTCAGGGCAATGATAGACAGTCACTATAGGTGTAATTTTTCCTGTGAATGTCTCTTCATTTTCCTCTTTTTCCCTAATAGAAGGTAGGATGCAGTAAACAGAATTAAACTCAGCTTACCGAAACATGGTAAGAAGTGCACGCACTACATAATTGGCCAGTATGTACTAATACATACAGCCATACCAGTGATTACATTTTTGCTATGCTTACATTCTAGACAGTAAATAGCCACTGTGCTAGATTTCTCTCCTATCCATCAATTCACCTTCCACAACTCAACAACTAATAGGTTAATACCCAGTTTAACAAAGTACTAAGGCCAGTGAAGGTTTTGATTGGCCAGTAACAATACAAGTCAGATTCCAAAGTCCCATCTCTCCCAGGCACACCCGTTGGCTCCCTACATGGTTCTCAGAGGGTTGCCCTCCCTTTGTGGGCAACTGCCTGGTCCAAAGAGGAAGATGCAATAACTCTCCATTCTGTCCACCATGTGGGTCCCCATCTCGAAATATTCCAGGTGAGATCAGGAATAGACGAGTTAGAGAAGACAGCACCGTAAACAGTGACACTAGCTATCCAGTAGTCAAACAGACCAACTAGCTCTTCATTAATGGATAAAATAGCAAGATCCAATTATATGCTGTCTCCAGTAAACCTACTTTTTTTATTAAAAAAATTTTTTTAATGTTTATTTTTGAGAGACAGAGCATGAGCAGGGGAGGGGCAGAGAGAGAGGGAGACACAGAATCTGAAGCAGGCTCCGAACTGTCAGCACAGAGCCCAATGCAGGGCTGGAACCCATGAACTGCGAGATCATGACCTGAGCCAAAGTGGGACGCTTAACCAACTGAGCCACCCAGGCGCCCCTACAGTAAACCTATTTTAAACATAAAGACACAAATAGGTTAAAAGTAAAAAGACAAAAAACAATACACCACATTAATAGTAGTCAAAATAAAGCTGGAGTGGCTGTACATTCCCTTCTCAATAACCAATAGAATAAGTAGGCAGAATCAGCAAGTATATAAACAGCAAAACTTGAACAACAGTATCAACCAACATGATCTGATTGACATTTATAGAATTCTTCTATCCAATGATAACAGATTATACATTCTTCTGAAGTGCATGTGGAACATTTAGCAACACAGACCATATTCTGGGCCATAAAACAACTCTCAAATTTAAAAGGAATCGTACAAAGTATGATGTCTAACAACAATGGAATTAAATCACCAAATATTTGTAAACTACATTTCAAAATAGCCCATGGGTCAAAGTACAAATCAAAAGGGAATTCAGAAAGTATTTTGGACTAAATGAAAACACAATCTATAAAAATTTACAGGATGCTGCAAAAGCAATACTTAGCAAGATAGCACTAAACTAGTGCTTTTCAACCAGGGACATTCACTGCATATCTGGACACATTTGGGAATATCTGGAAATATTTTTGGTTGTTCCCAGGGAGGTGTTATTGGCATCTAGTGGGTATTGGCCAGGGACACTGCTAAACATCCTATAGGACAGCCCCACAACAAAGAATCATCTAGCTTAAAATGTCAATAGTGCCACTATTGAGAAACCCTGCACTAAATATCTATTTTTATAAGCTTATTTATTTTGAGAGAGAGGGAGGGAGGGAGGGGAAGGACAGAGAGAGAGAGAGAGAGGGAGAGAGAGTGAATTCCAAGCAGGCTCTGCACTATCAGGTTCTGCACTTGAACTCATAAACCATGAGATCATGACCTGAGCCAAATGTGGACGCTTAACTGACTGAGCTCCCCAGGTGCCCCAAAATGTCTGTACTTTTTGTTTTTAAAAGAAAGGTCTTACTTAACCATGTCCTAAGCTTCCACCTATAGAAACTAAAGGGACAAAGAAGTGCAAAGTAAGCAGAAAAAAAGGAAAGAGCAGAGATCAGAACAGAAAGCAGTAAAAAGTAGGAAAATAAAAACAGAAAAAGGGAAACCAAAAGATTATTCTTTGAGAAGATCAACAAACTGATAAACCTGTAGCCACACTGATCAGGGGGTAAAAAGATACAAATGATCAATATCAAGAATGAAAGAATGTCATCACTATAGAAAAGAATAATAAGGGAATATTATGAACAAGTTTAGGCTAACAAATTCATTGATAACATGGAAAAATACCTTGCAAGTGCCAAACCACCACAGTTCACTTAAGATGAAATAGATAACATAAACAGTCCTATACCTAACCTATTAATGAAATTGGATTTATAGCTAAAAATCTTTCCACAAAGATAACTCCTGGGCTATGGATTCACTGATGAATTCTACCAAACATTTAAGAAATCATACCAATTCTATGGGGCATCTGGGTGGCTCAGTCAGTTGGGTGTCCAACTTTGGCTCAGGTCATGATCTCACAGCTTGTGAGTTCCAGCCCTGCGTCAGGCTCTGTGCTGACAGCTCAGAGCCTGGAGCGTGCTTCGGATTCTGTGTCTCCCTCTCTCTGTGTCCCTCCCCTGCTTGTACTCTGTCTCTGTCTCTCTCTCTCTCTCAAAAATAAAGATTAAAAAAAATT